GCATCTTGCATTGCCGTAACAAAATCGGATTCGACTGTCACTGTTTCCATTGCTTTCGTTGAGAAGCGGAGATCAAAGGGTTTTGTCGGTTCTCTTCCATGGAAAATTGAGCTTGGGCAGCATCCAATTGAAGAAGACTATGAAGTATTGTGGATGAATGTTGGCAGTGGGACATATTTGTGCCAGTCTGACCATTGTTCATTAGTGTTCAGCTTTAGGATTCTTTTAAGAGGTCCATGAGATCGTTCAACAAGGCCGATAGTCTGCGGGTGTTTTAGTGTCGCATGGTTAAAATGAATTTCGAGCAATGTCGCCAAATCGTGCATAAGTTCTGACGTGAATGTCTTTCCTAGATCAGCTAGAATTTTTTTCGGGATATAACTATGAACAAAAAACATCTTTGTAAGTTCTCTTGCAACAGTATCCGCGCTGGCATTCGTCAATGGTGCTGCAAACAAGTATTTCGAGAATACATCGATTCCAGTGAGAACAAACTTGTAGACTGGTGATTTCAATGGTCCAACTATATCAATTTGCATCAAGTCGCCTGGGAAACATTGTAATGAAGAAATTGGTTGTATGGTGAAATCTGGTGCTTTGCCGTTGCTTGTTTGAGTTGCAGACACGTCAAACAATTTTTAATCGTATTAGTTAGAAATTCAGTAAAGCCGGGAACTAATTACACACAATGCGTACACCGAATTCGTCTCAGACCTGTTGTTCCAGAGCATCAACCAGAAGATCTCGAAACCCTTGACCCAAGTCAATTTGAAACGAATCTATCACTTGGCAAGTACCGAGATGAACCAGGACTCTTTGACGATTCTTTGCCTAAACTCTTAGACGATATCCAACCCGAGAACGGTGGACAAAGCAACCTTCCCGATGCACCTTCACAAATTCGACAATACCCATTGGAGGACCCGCAGCAGCACCAATTCCTCCGGCAGTAGTCCCAATTTCAGCAGTAACAGCAGCACCAATAGTTGCGCCATTACCACCGGTACCGCCACCAATAGCAGCACTGCCGCCACCAGCAATTCCACCGGATCCAGATCCATTAGCTCCACCTGAGTTTGATTACAACAATGGACTCACTAACAACGAGCGGATGCACGATGCAGCGGTCCCAGTACCAACTACTGTTAATCTCGGAAAAGATGGACAAAACATGGCCCAAGAAACATCGCGAACGAAGCGCAAATCAAAGTCGAAGCGCGAGACAAGATATTTTGCCACACGCGATTTAGCAAAGATATGCGATATCACTTTATTTTACCACGCGAGCAGCAACCACGAAAAAACGTATTGAGAACAATAGATGGACACATTGCAGTTCCTATTCCTCCCAGTCAAAGATCAACGCAGGATAAGCGATCGCAAATACAAAAGAAGGCAGAAGAAGCGACTGAAATCTTTCCTGCACGTGATAAGAAAACGAAAACACTGAAAGACAGTTTAAAACGAGCGAAGAAACTGACTAAACGTAAAGACGGACCCGGCAGCAGCAAAGATTCGGTGAACTCAATTTACCATGAACCAAATATCTTTGTCGGACCCGGAAACCTGTTACAGTTTCCAGGCTCTATAGCGCACTGTGTCTTAAGTGACTTTCAAATGAGAAAAGGTATAGCACGCCAAATTAGCAGTGCATATCCATGCATGAGACCAACCCTACAAAGCGTTGAAACACCAATAGTCGGATCATGAGTTGCAGTTTCTTTGCCTTGGGAAAACAAGTCACTTTTCAATCTAGTTACAAAATCTCATTTTTTCGAAAAACCAACCTACTACAATTTGTCACGAAGTCTCAATTGCATGAAGAAGCAGCTCCTTCAGAAAGGCATACGACAGATTGCCCTACCAAAGATTGGATGTGGACTCGACAAATTGAAAGAAAGTAGTTTTCAGCCTAATAAGCGACATTTTCGAAAAAACGAATATCTAAATTTTTATTTACTTTGAAGAAAAGTCGCGATATTGCCTAGTACCGTTCATGCATTCATTATAACTATTGCCAGCTCCAACAGCAGCCAATTGATGCTATCGAAGTTCGAGAATAACGACTTTGAAACGAAGAAAAGTCGATATTTCGAGAAAATCGATTTTTAACCTCGAAATTTCCCGAAAAAATGACACCATAGTCACTACACACGAACAAAAACGGTTTCGGACCCTTAAATCATGTTTCAACGCCTATCTGGACAAATGTACGAAGTGGGTCCACTAGCAGACCACAACTTCACGAGATCTCGAAAAATCTACATGTTGCCCATGTTTAAGCATTACGAATAAAAAATCTCTGCTCCCCTAAAGAAAGAGTTGGAGGAAAATTGAAAGTTTTGGACTCAGCAATTATAAGACCACCAATGAGGAACAGGCAGGAAAGGGGTCCACTAGCAGACCACAACTTCACGAGATCTCGAAAAATCCACCTGTTGCCCATGTTTAAGCATTACGAATAAAAAATTTCTGCTCCCCTAAAGAACAAGTGGGAGGAAAACTGAAAATTTTGGGCTCAGTGATTACTAGATCACCAATCAGGAACAGGCATGAAGTCAGTCCACTAGCAGATCACAACTTCACGAGATCCGGGAAAATCCACCTGTTGCCCATGTTTAAGCATTACGAAAATTTTTTTTTTGCTTCCCTAAAGAACGAGTGGGAGGAAAACTGAAATTTTTGGGCTCAGCGTCCATTAGACCACAAATGAGGAACAGGCAAGAAGTGAGTCCACTAGCAAACCACTTTTTGGAGATAAAAATCAAACTGAAACATTCCCATGTATTAGGATAGGAGAACCAAGAAAAACACATTTCGAGGGATATATTTTCAGAATTGCGAACAGGAAACTCCCAAATGAGCCCCAAAACATCCAATGGAATAGTTGAGACAACCTCTAAAGACTTTCAGAGATACTCAACAAGTTCTCTAAAACAGTAAAAGCACAAAAAGCCACAGGAAACAAAAAAAATGATGAAAAATCCGAATTTATCATCAATAATTCATCGTGACGCAACATTTTGCTCAGGCGAGCCAGCAAATACCTTGAAACGCTTGTAAGAAAGAAGTGCAACGTCTGTAGAAGAATTGAAAACAAAAAACAAAAGCCAGATTCTGCACAAAGACGTTGATTGCGACAAAATGCAAAAACTTCGTTGAAAAAGTGGAATTTTGACTTTACAAAAAAAGGAAGTCTATCGTCACCTTTCAGGGCGTCAGGCCACCAGAGGCACGGAACAACCAAAAGAAGATGATGACAACACTTCTCAACTATCAGATGATATCTGAAAACAACAGTACAACTAATAAGCACGTACACCAAAGTACAAATTGCTTTACTAGATGTCAACTTCGAAAATAAAATTGTGAATTTTTCGACAAAAGAGCTTTGTCAAGTTGTTGGAAACCAATTCACAACTAATGAGGCTAATAGAAGAAGCAAACCGCCCATGTAAACTTAAACAATCAACTACAGCATCAACGGAGAAAAATGTGAAGGACATGCCTAAAACAACGAACGAAGAAAGCGATACGACAAAAAACAAATGAAAGAAAGCAAAGAAAATAAATATTACACACCACATCAATTGCCGTGCAAAATTATTTACAGTTGATAACTGAAAATATCATTCTATCATCGAACTGACCTTATCATCTAGCACTTAACTCCCATAACCCGACTCAATGTGGCTTTCTGTCCCCTTTAAAATATTTCCCATTTAAACTCAATTCAATTTTATTTCACATTATAAATTGAAGTAATAAACTGTGCTTCTAAATCAATGAGTGTGAATGATTCTTTCGATAAAGTGATAGATAAAAACAATTTTCCCGTAGCAGTATATATTTTGTCAAATTGATTGTAAATTTTTTTAAACTGAATTATTTTAACTGTAAGCAGTCAAAAACTTAAACCACCCAGGAAAATTTCTTATTGTGAGGTAGTGTGACAACTCCGCATGATGTCATGCATTCTTATGCTATAATAGATTACATAATTAACCTTGTTAATGAAATGAAGTTCATACATTTATATTTATTTAACTATGTAAATATTGATGGTAATTGGTACCAATCATTAGAGACTGCGACGGAGCTACTAATCAATTGAGTAGAAACGAATTGAACAAAATAATACAGTCATGCTCTAACTTGCGCCGATCGACTAGCGATATTCCAGAAGTTAAGAACCGAATCCTGCATCCTTAAAAGTAAGATAAGTCTTAACCGCTCGAGACATTAATTATGAATACAAATCAATAACAAATGATAGCCAGTACCGCTAAGAGCTATTCGAACAGCTCGCAACTATTACAATAAACGACGATATAGCTGTCCACAGCCATCCGAAGGGATACTATATCACAGTTGTGTCTTAGACTTTCACACCGTTGGAAAAACTTATTACAAATGATGACAACTGGCATTTTCAGACTTCAAAACAAACTCAGTGCTTCAAATCAAAAACCGAATAAATCAGAGAGGGTAGTTCAGATGAATTGCAGACGGACGACGAATAAATTTTGGCAACAACCCAAGTGAATAATGTTAAAAACTGTCTTTAAAATTAGGCATTTAGGAAAGTAAAAGCGTAAATTTGCGCTTAACTTTGTCCACTAGTGTATTTATCCCCTTTGACCTACCCAAAAAAAATAAATTACAAAAGGTGCCCCTCCCTTTAGTTACGGTCAGTGCACAAGCTGGATAGGGCCTTACCAGCGTTATAAAAAGGCATTTATATAAGCAAACTATCATTGTATCAATGAAGTCATATATCAGCATTAAAGGCACCGTCGTAATGTTAATTTTTCTTAACCGTCCGCCAATTCTTCCTCTACAATGGCGCTTATAGAGTTGTCGATGAATTGAATTTTGCGCAGCGATCTGCACCCCCTTATACATAGTACCCAAACATCTACGATTACTATCATTATAATTGACCTTCTCGTTTGGCTTTCGGACCAGATTCACGGTTTTGAATTCACTTTGCTTCGTACCTGGTGAACATATCTCATTGATCCAGCACAATGACATGGGTAGAAAAGTGGCTTTGTAGCAGCCGCCTCCATATAACAATAGCGACAACAGTCACCCGAGGCCAGGTCCACCTCACCCTCATTTTCAATCATTTCTTACGCATCTGAAAAACATGCAAACAAATTCATATGATGACTTTTTCAAAAGTGTTTTTGTATATAGCAAAATAGTGTTTCAAATAAGGGTCTAACCCAGAGGTGGAATCCAGCTAAAACTTTCAAGTTCGAAACCGGCCCGAATGAGTTGATTAAAATTTGGCTGGCCGAAAATAACAAAAATAAAAAAATAAATAACGGTAAAAATTTGTTTTCTTTTCTCAATCAGCAAACCAGCTTGGCGGCCATTTTGACGGCAGTTTTAGTTCAATTGATTTCAGTTAACTTCTGATCATCAGGCGACACTTTGATCATTAGGTTCAACATTTTGAAGAAATACAACTTTCTCTTTTTCATTTTTGCGAGAACTCATTCATTTGACTTTTCCCCTCTGATTACGCTGACGCCTGAAAACGGCCCGAGGGGTATGTATTTAAAAAAAACTAGGCCCAATCCAGGCCCGCAATCGCACCGGCCTGAAAAACCCGAACCCATTTAGTTCCACCATTGGTCTACTCAGATCTAAATTCATCACCAGGATAACCATGATGCTATGCTGGAAGGGCTGAAAGCTCAACGCTCACCCAAGACTTTGCTGGTATGAACATTCATGATGAATATGCCACCCAAGAACAATGTGACACGACGAGGCGCAACTGTCCCTTCTGCCATCGCTTGGTTGCCATCCTCTCCGATGGTACGCTCGGGTCTCATGGCCCTGTGGGAAACCGTTATGCACGGAAGGCATCAGAGCCCACTCACGCAACGGCTGCGCAGGTTATATGCGCCTCCTCGGTCGATGACTTCGCAAAGCTGTTCAAAGGTGACCAGCCGAAGATTCTGAAATACATTCCGAAAGCTGCTCGACCAAGTAAACTCTGATACCGCAGACAAATTCGCCTGGGCTAAGCTGCTGATGGTCCCCGTCGCGTGTCGCAAAGCTCCGCCAAGAGGAGGTTCTGCACATCAGGGAAATCTCACCTCAATGGTCAAGAAGCAGAATGCTGCTTTTATTCAGGCTGAACACATTGATAAGCCCAAGGACAACAAACCGAGAGTCGTCCGAAGGGCAATAAACAAGAAAGGAGACATTGCTACGTTGGTAAGCGAGAAAGTAAATGAGGGAGACATCAAGGGTGCACTACGAATTAAGAGGAGTGACGATGTTATTGCACCGACTCCCGAGAAAGCTGAGAAGCTCAAGGCTAAACATCCAACAGCACCGGTCGACAGACGGTCCTTCCCATCGTGCAACCCTGAACCAATCCGAGTGAACCAATTGCAACTGGAACGAAAGCTGGACGGGACCACCTCAGGGAGCAACATCTTAAAGACGCGACCTTACGCGACCCAAATGAAGCCGGTTGCAGACTGTTGACTTCCCTAACAAGATTCACAAACAGCTTCATTGCTGGGGAGTTCCCAAATTTTATTCTATGTGCCAGTCGGTCATATTTGGAAGTTCTCAGAAGGTCAAAAGTATCATAGTAACCGAGGTTACAGTCAGGAGTCCCTTCATCACGTATTCCAGTCAAAATCCTTGGAATTTTCTAGACATGGAAGTAATAATGATAAAAGAAGATGACAAGTGTTTAAGTCCTTTTCAATTAAAATCGATACGGGTTACGTTTCTTCAATAAGAACACGCAACTCGACACGAGAAAATATAATATACAAGTGTTACAAATAAAAAAAATCGTCGAAAGCTATTTTGTCAATTATTGTTCTGAGTACGCAAGCGGCTTTCGCAATTTGTATTGCCAGGGAGATTCTCTGTTTTAAATAGCTGCCTGCTCTGGGTTCCTCAGTGCATATGCTTAGGTTCTTACAAAGCTTGCTCAAAAAAATTTATGTGCTGGGGCCGCAAAAAAAATTGTGACTCTCAAAAGCTAGCGGTTGAAAAAAATATCCATCATCTACAAGATCTTTATACTTATCATTTTTTGGCTCTTCGCTTAAGCGGCAGCGGTACTAGGGTTACAAACAGACCCGGCATTAATCCTACAAGGAGCTAAGGAGTCTACTACCGTTACATCCCACAAGAGCTGCTTAGCAACAGCCCATGGAACGAGCGTCAAACCGTCTGGTCGCTTCTGATCGGTCCTGTAGAGGTGTCGTGGTTCTAAAACAGACGGAATGTGAGCAGAAGATTAACTCTGCTTTATAAGGGCATTCAGGTTTGAATGCCTAGAGAATCTCCCTGCACTTTTGAGGCAAGAAAGACCATGCCAATCATCCTCGGTAACGTCTTTTCCGCACACGCATTTATGCCGTTCGCATATTTTTGAGCCTAATCGAATTCCTATCGCAATTCTGAGTTGTTGGTTCGACAGTTTTAACCTTAAATTTTTTGGCACGTTATGACGTTCAACCATTGGGAGCCAAATATATATTGGAACGCGTTGAATCTTTTTACGTCCATTGGTTCGAGTCCTAAAATCAAGTCTGCAATTTCGCTTTCAAAAATTGGCTCCGTCAAATTTTTTTGGATTTCATTTTCGGAGCCATTTCAATTTTTCCAAATTCAAACCACCGTTTAAGCGCATCATCATAGGTTCCATCCACATGCTCCAAACAAAAGATTTCGAAGTTTGAACCTTGAGTTTGAACCTTGAGCCTAATCGAAGTCCTATTGCAATTCTGGGTTGTTGGTTCGACTGTTTTAACCTTAAAATTTTGCACGGGATGACGTTCAACCCTTGGGAGCCAAATCTATCTTGGAACGTGTTGAATCTTTTTACGTGCGTTGGTTTGAGTCGTAAAATCAAGTCTGCATTTTCGCTGTTAAAAATTGCCTCCGTCCAATTTTTTTGGATTTCATTTTCCGAAGCTATTTCAATTTTTCAAGATCAAACCACCGTTTAAGCGCATCATCATAGGTTCCATCCAACCAAAGATTTCGAAGTTTGAACCTTTGTTTGGAAGTTTGACCTTGAGCGATGTTTAGTCTTGATTTTGGGGTGAAATGCAATTTTTCAAAGATTCGAATTGAACCTGTCATGCTCAAGTTTCTCGCGATAACTGAAAATACGATAAAATAAGATCAGAAGAATCGAACTACAATCGCGGGAAAGTAGTCCAAAAAAAGGAACGTGAAATTGCTATTCGCCGTTTCGCCATATAAATCGAACGAGAGTAGAGCTGTCCTATTCTTGGAAACGGATCGAGAGTGGCGGAAACAAATAAAGACGGGAACAAATAGAGATGATTGAGTGGACCAGAGTGAACCTTCGGTGGAAAGGTGGACAGCTGAAGTTGCCCAATAGTCCAAATAGAAAACTTGTGTCTTGAAATAAAACTTGTTCATTTCAAGCTTCTTGACTTAAACTTGATTACTGGATTAATTCTATAATTTAGTTAATCAATTCTAGAGGTCGTGTCGGTTTGTAAAAACCCAATTTAAATTTCTTCAGTGTGTTTAACATTATAATGATGAGTTAGGGAGAATTTTAGGTTGATCCATCTAAAATGGATCAAAGGTCCACTGTCTAATAAAAAGTAATGGTATACGTAAGGTTCCGACCCTGTTTTTAATGGTGTTCGCGTGTTTTAGGTATTTTGAGACCTGAGCATGGGGAAGTTCTTAGTTTCTAGAGTGGGGTGCGGGGGCGGGGGTAATTTGGTAGTAGCCTTCAAGCTTTAAGACGGTTTGCGGTCTCATGTCGCAAGTAAACCGAATTGGCTCCGACCGCTTGAGGTAGAAAAACACAAGAGATAGTGTCCTTGACTCTTGAGCCAATGGTTATAGGGCATATTTTTCTTAAACCTCATATGTGACTTAAGTAAGCGACTGTTAAACTACCCGTTTCAGCTGGCGCCAAACTATTATCGCTTCCAAAGCCAGATGTCGGCATGCGTCCCATTGCGGTCAGAAACGCGCTGCGACGACTAGCCGGGAAGTTTGTCTCGAAAAACGAAACACCTCGATTCTTGTCTCATTTTGAACCTATCCAATTAGGGACCGGAACGCGCAGCGGATGCGAAGCAGCCGTTCACGCCGCTAGGGCCTTATTGGCCGACGCACGCAATAACACTGCATTATTGCAGATGGACTTCCGAAACGCATTCAAAATGATCAGACGCGATACGGCAGCTGAAGTTATTTCCGAGAAGGCTCCAGGAGCATACAAGCAGAAAAAGGCAATATGGTGAAGCAGTTCTGCAAAATACTAGACTTACTCCCGCGGCAAACGGCCTTTTTCGTGCGTTAAAACTGTTTCTCGGCACCCAAACTGATGTACAACCTATGCACCGCCCCTACTTTCTCTGCACCAGATGTTATTTCACAGATTGACTCAAAATGGACAATCTCAGAGGAGCGCATCCTGAATGTAGCCATGGATGAAATATCATGGGCGCAAATATCTCTGCCAGTCAAGATGGGTGGCTCTGGTTTACAAAACATGATTGACCTCTCCAGCTCTGCCTATCTATCCTCAGAAAAGGCCAACAGCCTGATGGTCGGTCGACTCCTTAATGACCATGCATATGAGCTCCCGATTGATACGGCAATAGCAACATGGTTCGAGCGATCGCATGCCACGCCACCAGACACGCAGACCTCCAAACAGAAGTCATGGATTGAACCGATCCATCGCCATACTAAAATGCGGCTTCTCCAACGAACCAGCGACACTGAGTTGGCAAGGTACAAGGCGTCAGATGCACTGGTTCAGGTGACTGGCAGAATGCACTGCCTCATCAAATTTGGGTCTTGAGATGTCTGATGACTGATTCCGGATCTCAGCCTGTCTGCAGTTGGGCGCCCCTGTAACCAGGCACTCACCTGCCCCAACATGAGGAGCAGACACGCTCGCCACTAGACCTGCAATAAAATGATACAGAAAACGCCCCGATGGCGTGCCGCTGCTCCCATCGTGCCGAGGTTGTGTTGTAGCATGGGACTTCACATGCATACACAGACTCGCCATTAGCAACCCACGCCTGGCCACCTGTTATGAACCTAGTTAGAACTGTGAGGGGCGATCATGGGACAGTTCTAGAGGCTAC